ACATTTACAATAATACCAATTTATAGTTCGACGTTCTTATTTACTCTTCAACTTCAACACTTACAAAACTTGCTAATTTCCGCCAATCGACAAGAGATAAATGATTCAGTAATAATTTATCTCATGTCGATTGGCGGAAAGTAGCAGTCTATTAACTATAGAAAATATCCGAAATCGAGACCAAACTTCCAAATAGTGAATGATTTCTCGTGCCTCGCTACACCAGCTACGCTACCAATCCCAAATAATAATATTTAATATTAACTTTACTGTACGTATAGCGTACTGGTTAAAGCGGTCACCTTGCAGCTTGTTATAATATGAGTGTTGTGGGTCCGATCCCCACATGGGACAACACTTGTGTAATTCACAAATGGTTGTTCTGAGTCTGGGTGTTCTTTGTGTGGGCACCAGGGACTTCCTTTCTAGGGTATACCTGGTTCCCCGGCTATTAGTACCCGAGACGGCGTGCGGTTTTAGTCGGTTCGAGTCCGACATGCCACCGATGGGATCGGTGGTATCCGAGGGGATTTCCGCACGGAAAAAAAAGGGAGTTCTTTGTGTCCGTTTCATGTACGTTTGTAAAGTCCCCCGCAACACAGGATATATTCCTAATGCGGAAATTGTATTTAAAACAAAGTAAAAAAACCTCAACACACCTCACACACGGCCATTTGATTTCAAACTAGAATGAGCATGGATTAAATATTTCCAAATACATTTATATAGTATAGATAAATTACACTCAGACAGAACAAGATGTGATCGTGTTCCTCGTGCAATTAAAAATAATTATAATTAATTTCACACATCTCACACTGCGATCTCAAACTAGACAGAGCCTGTACTATGGTAACCAGACTGCTGATAAACATACTTATATATTTTTAAATACATGCATAATATAAATAAACTAGCTGACTCGGCAAACGTTGTTTTGCCATATCACATCACATCAACAGCCTTTAATAGTCCACTGCTGGACATAGGCCTCTCCTTACAAAGGAGGGTTGCCATATACATTATTTAAAAAAAAATTGACAAAATAAATAAATTAGGTGTATGAAAAATAGAGGTTGGCCGATTCTCAGACCTACTCGATATGCACACAAAATTTCACGAAAATCGGTCGAGCCGTTTCAAAGGAGTTCAACCACGCACACGGTGACACGAGAATTTTATATATTAGATTACATCCAGACACGGAACAAATACTCGTGTTGACCACACAATTATTTGTCCTGTCAATCGAACCCACGACCTCCGGCTTAGCAGACTAGCCACTAGACCAATAATGTGAATCCCAGTACGATACTGCAGTATTTTCTAATTAAGCTGCTTCTCACTGTTAAAACTCTAATGATGTAGATGATTGCATTTATTGCTTAAAAATCTATCAATGTCACTGTACGAAAGGCGATCTTGAAACATTCCATAGTGAATAAGTAATACTCTTTTCTCTTTTCTTTAAAAAGACAACTCCCGCATTAGGAATAAATCCTGTGTCGCGGGGGACTTTACAAACATACATGAAACGGACACAAAGAACACCCAGACTCAGAACAACAATTTGTGGATCACACAAAGTGTCGTCCCATGTGGGGTTTGAACCCGGAACAACACTCGGCGTAGTAGGAAAGCGGCGTGGCGACCGCTTAAACCACTACGCCATCCGTGCAGTCAATCAAATATTGTCAGGGACGGATGAGTCTAATAGGCTTAACTGCTACTTACTGATCCACACTGCGATACAAATATAATGTATATTAAATCACATTATAAATGTGTTACTTTGTTTGTATAGATTTTTGTATTGGATAGTGTTTGAATTGAAGAATAATTTAAGATTCAAAATATCACGCTACTACCTTTACACGAGAAGATATCAGTAAATTGGATCTTGAAGAAGAATCAAAGCTAGTTTTTGTCACGCAAAAATTAAATTTTAGGACTGGCAGACTTTTAGGAAGTCAACACCAGCTTTCTTTTAATGTGGTAACTTTCAAACTTTCACGCTCCATGATACGTTAATTACCGCGATCTCGTATTCAATTGCGATTTCATACACACGTTTCGACCAGATAGAACTGGCTGTTTCGTCCTGGGTTTTTTTAAAATATAGACAGAACAACTTTGAACGAATTCAATTAAAAATGAAAAGAAAATGAGAAACAGGAACTTTTCAGTTTTTATGTTCAAAAAAGTACTTATACATAAAATAAATCATAGACATATCTGTTCTCAATAGTTAGCAATTGCATTTTCTGAAAGACATAATAATATGCTTTTAAACTAAGTCTGATAATACACTATGTTGATAAATGTACGACAAGATCGCAATTTAGGTCCTCTATTTAAGTTTCCATTAAATTTAATGGATGACTCAGAAATTAAAGCATACGTGATAGATCACTCTCATACATCAAATGATAAATCAAGATACTAAATTGGTATTAAGTAATAAATAAATCCTTTCTCTTTTAGAGCATAATCATATTTATAAGGCACAAAAATAATCTTAAAAGCAAAAGCTGCTTAAAACTTACTTAGAAATAGTATAAAATAACGTAACTTTAAGTGGTATGTGGGTGTTCCATCAAAGGTTGCCTTTTGTGATAAATTATCGTATAAGAAAAGTAAAGTAAGATACTCAAATGAGTAATAAAAAGGATCAAATTGTTTTTTTTATACCCATATGCTAAAGGAATAATCCGTGCGCAAAAAGTGATTCTGGATTTACAGTATCGTAATATTGCAACAATGCAAATTATGTATATATAAATTCTGGCATAATGAAAATCGCCTAAATTTTAAAATAAGAATTATATAACATTGCAATAAGAATTCATTAATAGTCACCGACATATCCTACCAGATCAGTAAGCTAAAGTGGCAGTGGGCTGGCCATATTAGCCGCAGAACCGACAACCGTTGGGGAAAACGAGTTCTTGTGTGGAGACCGCGTGTAGGACGCCCACAGGCCAGATGGAGTGATGATTTGCGCAAGATGGCTGGCAGGACCTGGATGCGAGAAGTCCAAAATCGATCGAAGTGGCGTGAAGTGGGAGAGGCCTATGTCCAGCTGTGGACTGCGATAGGCTGATGATGATGATAATGAATATAGTATAAAATAGTAATACATTTGGATACAAATATAATGTAAATAATAAACTTAGGTACAATCAAATTCGTCCATAATATAAAATAAAAGGATAGCATGAAGAATAAAATCATGTACATTAAGTCACTGTTAGAATAGCAAACATTTTATCTATTCAGTAATATTTATCCAGTGATATTTAAAGTGAAATAGATTGGAAATAAGAGTAAATTGGTAAAGTAACAATAAATTCGTACCTAATGTACAGTACTGGCAACTGTCTACGTCTTTACGTAACATCCTGAAGCGTTGCTAAAAGCCCTCTCGCTGCATGAGTATAAATCTATTGATGGCACAAATGATCCGGTTTCATTAATATACGTTAGTGCTCGTGACAGGGGTGCATAGACACAGGTTAGAGCGCGCCGGTGGCACTGCCAACGGGTGTTGTTGACGCTCGCTCGAATTATATTTAAAAAAAACGTATTAAGAGGAAGACGTTTGCTCCCAGAGCGAAGTTATGACGTACTGCCAACATAAAATAGTCCACCATTCCTCTAACATATATTGCGGGGTACAAGTATGGATAGTAATAATACAATAGTTTTAAATAAGTATCTAACGAAAGACTTCTGCACCTTCTCGACTTGTATACATGTTGGGCTTGATAGCGATTCCATACTTAGTACTACTTACAAGTACAAGATTCAGAGTTACTGTATAAAACATACTGCTTACTATTTAAAAAGTAGTTTGAACCTATGTTCGCCATCTTGGTAAGCAGTATATCATTATTTATCTGATCAAATGCTTTTTGGAAATCAAAACAACGCAACGTCGACCTGATTTCATTTGATATCATCATTGTAATATTTAAAAGGTTTGATCGGCCTTTCAAAAAACCGTGTTGTTGGTCACAGAACCATCCTCTTAGCTGATTGTATAATATTGATTCCACTACTTTACCAAAGACCGATAAGATGCCAGTTAAAAATATTCATTGACATGAATACCTGTGTGCCGGGCCGGGAGTACGTGGTGTTGCCAATATAAACCACCCCGTCAGCCGGTCTCAGGCGGTTTACTCTGGGGAGGACCCGGATTATGTTATTGTAGGTCCCTCCCGAATCACCGCCTGGTTACAAAAATGACCATCTTATCGCCTACTGCAGCAATTAATCTCCCACTAGAGGTCCCCACTCTCTAGTGCCCTCCGGCCCAATCAACGGCTGGTATCACTACCGACGTCCTCTAGGCTCGCGACCGGCCCTCTCCCGATCCTGTAGTTGAAAATACCTGGTGTAGACATGTGGAATATAATTTATACGCGCAAAATGTATGTCTCTTATTTGTAAAGTGATGTCATTGTCTGCGTATAGCTCTTGACATTTGTATTAAAACTCTAGATAAATATTGGAGTTATTTACAAAAATAGATCTTATATAAAATAATAAAAAATAGGTTTCGTTACTTACAATACAAGCATAAACATATAAGTTCCCCCCTTCCCTCTGGACCGCGAAAGCGTTTGGACGTAAACCCCGTAATTAAGTAAATTAATTAAATAAAACAAAAATCTATTGTGCAAAAAATCATTCCAAGCTACCAGGAGCGCATAAAACACCTACAAGTAACAACCATACGCAGCGTACTTCAAATCACCAAGTGAGTTACTTCCCTTAATACAATACGGAGGTCAACTTACAGTTGACGGACAGTTGATTTGCTTCAAGACGTCGATCGGCGACCAGTGAAGCAGACCCATAGAACGTTATCACACAAATATAAGTTTAGTGGGAAAGAGTCATTGTACCAAAACCGCAGTTGTACGCGCGGGAGTAAAGAAGACAACAATACATATTTAATTGAGTCGTTGAAGCTAATTTACGTAAGTGAGAATATGTCTTGCCGAAGGTCGCCGCCCGCAAAGCCGTTACATTCACTACAAAAACCAAGAATTGCAACCCAAGAATCGGACACCACTTCGGACTGCCTGGGTTCGGATCCCGATCAAGGCAATCAATCAAACATTAGTCGTCGTCAGAAACGTAAACACAGTGATACGACCCTATGTGAGATTAAAGATATGCTAGCTGCTGTACAGCTTGAACAAAAATTGCAGGCTATAAAATTTGAAGAGGAAATGAATAAGATGTTGCACCAAAATAAAGAAATGATGCAATCCATACAACACATGTCGGACAAGTATGACGAAGTGTTGAAACAATTGCAGCAAAGTAAAGCCGAAAATGTTGCATTAAAAATCATATTAAATTTCTTGAACAAAAACTAGAATTTCTTGATCGGAATTCTAAGTCATCGTCGTTGGAGCTGAGAAATATACCAGCGAACCAACCAGAAACTAGAACTACGTTAACAAACACTATCAGATCTATAGGGGACGTCCTCAAGATAGACATACAAAATACGGACATTCGCAACATTTATAGACCAAAAAAAATCTCTGGCAACATCAGTCCCATTTTAGTTGAATTTTCCTCAAGCTTGATGAAAGAAGAAATTATTAAAGCAACGAAATTTTTTAACAAACAAAATAAAGAAAAGATTAATACTATGCATTTAAAACTAGGAGGCGTCCCGCAACCAATCTTCATATCGGAAGTACTTACCACTCGCGCAAGGCGACTGTACTTCTTGGCTCGGGAGTATGTCAAGAATCATAAACATGCTAGCTGTTGGACTTCATACGGCAAAGTTTATATTCGCAAAACTGAAGGTGAGCCACCCAAATTAATTTCGACAGAAGAAGATATTCCAAAAGTTACAAATCTATGACTGGGACTGTCAATAGGCAAGATGTATTTGGTTTTGATGGCTGTGTGTTTCTTTTTTGAGTTTATTTTTGTTCAAACATATTTGTACTCAGCCATACTGTATGCAGATTTTCATGTCAGAATAATGTCTAATATAGTTTCACACAAAATACACGGCACACATTACTACATATTACTTATCAAATTGACTATTTGCGGTTTAATACAAAAATGTAAAATACACCTACATATCCAACAATATACATACCTTTATACATTACAACTATCGCTTTTACATAAATATCATCATACTAACAATATTTACAAGGAAACACGGATAGTCTTTATTCACTATGCTATTTTTTACTTACCCTCACTATATATTATATACATAACAACAACTCAAATAAGCAACACAAGTACATTCATCTATGGGAGATATATATATGGCTACAAAAATATCATGTACAACGCACCAGAGCAACTACTGGCCTACGCAATAACCCAAATGTGTTATGAATACATAAAGTACCCGACAACAAAATGCATTCATACAAAACTAAGACCTTTGGCAATACAGCCCATTTTACATATTCCTATAAAAACATAACTTTGGTCCCATTCCATTTTCACAAACATAATTACCCATCACATTCGATTCTATAAATAACTTAATAAATAACATTGACCATTTTAACATTGCATTACCAGTTTCCTGTGAGCCGGAGGAATGTACATCATTTCTTTCGCATCCGAAACAGTATTTAAAAATTCTACAGCAGAACATTCGTAGCCTTAACTGTAACTTTCAAGAGATATGTATTTTGCTCAAAAGACTGATTCTGACCTGTGATATTGTGGTTCTCTCTGAATGTTGGTTATCTAAAGTAGTAAACTTGCCACAACTTGCTGGTTATGTAGCATATAAAACTACAGACAATTATAACCAAAACGATGGCGTAGTTGTATACACAAACTGTGACCTTGAATGCACCGTGGAAGAGCCCCCCCTATCGGAAGCAAATTGCTTAACAATCAAAATAAAAAATCACACTGTATTAATCGCCATTTACAGACCTCCTACTTTTAAGTCACTCGAATTTTTTTTTGACTATTTACACGGCTTACTACAGAGTGTCTCAACATTTAAGAATATCATCATAGTTGGCGATATAAATATAGACCTAATAGGAACTGGTCATGAAACCTTAACGTATTTGGATACAATATCATTCCACGGTCTTCTTCCTGCCATTAGCACCGCTACTAGAGGTAAATCCTGCCTAGACCACGTCATATTGAAAACGAAACTTAATGCATTTACTTTTTCATTGGGTACTAGTATTACCGATCATGAAGCCATACTATTTTGCATTAAAACTAATGTATCCAATACAAAACCCATAAAAATGAAACAAAAGCTTATAACTGACCGAGAAAAATTAAAATCAGAATGTCTTACATACAACTTCCTCAAAATTTATCAGGAAACAAATTTGAACACTGCTACCAACAACTGTATTAATACTTTACAACACCTAATTGAAAAAAACTCAATAAAACGTTTGATCCCTAGAAGTAAATATATAATCAAACCTTGGTTTACTCCTGGCATCCTCCGCTGTATTCGTACTAGAGATAGAATGCACAAAAAAATAAAAACAGACAAGGATAACATCATATTGAAAATAACATATTTGAGATACAGAAATTACTGCAACAATCTAATTAAAAAACTTAAAAAACAATATTTCAGTGATCAGTTAATAACATCAAAAAATAATACAAAAAGGCTCTGGTCTACCATTAAAACAATAACAAATAACAACAAAACAAAACAGGCACCATTTCAACTAATAATTGATGAGGTTCCCAAATCCTCAGTCAACAAAATAAATGAATATTTCTCAAAGATAGGTAAACAATTGTCAGACCAAATACCTTTACACCTCCCTCCCTTCATAAAATCCTCAAAACCTCCGCTAAGGTCATTTGTTCTGTTACCTACGAACAACGAAGAAGTTGAAAAAAACATTAAGCTATTAAGAAGTGATTGCGCTCCTGGGTGGGATCAGATCAGTGCGGAGATTTTAAAAGTAACATCAGAATCTATAACACCGGTTCTCACCCATCTGTTGAACCGTTCTATTGAGGAGGGAGTGTTTCCTGTTTCCTGTTTCCTGAGGCTGTGGTACATCCAATACATAAGGCGGGTGACAGAGGCAGTGTCAGTAACTACAGGCCAATTGCAATATTAACAGCGTTGTCAAAATTATTTGAACGTATTATTAATAATAGAATAACTCAATACTTAGAGCATAACAATCTACTATCATCGCATCAATATGGCTTTAGAATTGGCCGCTCAGCTGAAAACGCAGTTTTTGACCTCGTCAACTTTCTTGTTGGTAAATTAGACAGCAAGAGTAAATGTTTAACCATATTTCTTGACCTTGCAAAAGCCTTTGACACTGTCTCTGTCCCCAACCTAGTACAAAGGCTCGAGGATTTTGGTATCAGAGGCACACCTGCATCATTGATATCTGACTACTTAAATAATAGAACCCAATGTGTAAAGGTGGGACAGTATGTCAGTGATGTACTGCCAAATGATTTTGGGGTGCCGTAGGGCAGCATTATGGGTCCAACTCTCTTTCTCTGCTACATCAACGAGCTCAGTAATTTAAAAATTAAAAATTGCCGTATATCAACATATGCAGATGATACTGCTCTTACGTTTTTCGCTGATTCTTGGAGTGAACTTTTTGAAATTGCTCAAATTGGATTTAACACTGTGTGTCACTGGCTATTATCAAACTCACTTACCCTTAATGAAAGTAAAACTAAATACATTAACTTCTCAATACAAAACACAATCGATATAACAACCCACAACCACAATATTTTTGCACATAAATGTAACTTCCCACCAATAGCTACTTGCAACTGTCCCATCATTGAACGCACTCAATGCCTAAAATACCTTGGAATCGAAATAGACGCTAACTTAACCTTTGCAACCCACATTCGTACTTTATCACAAAAGATACGCAAACTAGTTTACATCTTTAAAGAGCTGCGGGATGTAGCAGAGAGACAAACCATAAGGATGGATTACAACGCCATGGTGCAATCCATTTTGAGCTTTTGTATTACTGCTTGGGGAGGTGCTTGTAAATCCAATATGTTAATCATAGAAAGAGCTCAGAGGATGATATTAAAGGTGAGTACATTTAAACCTCATCCTTACGGGATGACGGTCCTTATGGGTTTATGATGTCCGGACACGGGTCCTTATGGGTTTATGATGGATAGGGGTGGTGACACTCCGTATTCTTAATCCGTCACCACACGCATCACCACACAAATACAATACAATAGAATAATATAAGAATGTTTTTAATTTGATAATAAATGTTCGCCAATATGGGAGAGATTTAAATACGACACATTTGAAAAATAAAACCGTACACCGTATTGCAAAGCAATTAACTTGCTCTCGCCGATAAGACAAACAGACGCTAAATTTGTGTTCAGGCTTCCATCGAACTGATATCTACCGGGAAAAGATTAAAAAAAAACATTTATTTACTGTGGATGAAACATAAATACTTTATCTCCTTTGAAACTATCATACACTTCAATAACTTTAAGTAGTTTTCTTCGAATTTGAGTAATATTTTATTAGAGTTATTTCATTTCAGTTGCAAACTCCAATGTTTTTCATACTTTTTTATGTGTCTGTGTTAGTAAAACTTAGAGAACACATGTTTAAGTTTAGAAAGAAATAAGGCAATTTTTCGCTCTTATAATTTTAGAATCAGTAGGTAGGGTACAACAAATTCTGCACTACTTGTCTCCATTAAGTCGAAGACCGATAATCGTGCGTAGGGCCATTGCGCAGTGTTAGAACACTGGTTTCATTTCTGCATCTAGAATACTGATGTCGGTTTTGTGCATGTTGACAAAAATATCTCATCAATTACTTTGAGGAGACTCGTGTAACAATTATCACAAAGTATCACCGCCTGTTTTTGGTGTGGAAGACGGGGTGATGATGATACTCATGGATAGCCTTCGCCCATTGGGATGGTGGAGGGAGGCGAAGGGGTCTGTCGGACTTTTAGCGACCCCGATGTTCCTCTGCTTGCCAATGGCTGGGGGAGCGAGAATCATAATTGAATTCTTCCGCCACCCCCGCCGGCAGCCATTGACCCGTCACACCCAAGATGAGTCTCGTCACCACCCTTTGCGACCGTCATCCTTCGGTCACAGTCCTCTAGAAGTGCACACGAAACATTGTGCGCTGCCTCTCAGGCCTGTATCTGTTCGGACGACGAATTCACAGTGTCACGGCCTTGAATGAACCTACATCAACATGAATTGTAATAAACTGCTCCCTTATTCTTTAATTGTGTAGGAGTTGTATTATTTCTTTAAATTTCTTATAACGTTAAGAATACCATCGCAAATAAAAAAAGTCACTTTGGTAAATGACGGATTATTCAGATAACAAACA